AGTAGAGTATAGTAGCATAGAATAGAATAGGACCCTGGAGGTCTTCTAGTCCAGCCCCTTGCTCAGGCAGGAGAACCTATAACCATCTCAGACAATGACTGTCCAGTATCTTAAATTCGTCAAGACTGAGAAACATTGCGCTAGTTCCAATTCAGTTGTCTTAACTTTATTTTTTAGATTGTCGGCCTAATGACAGCGGCAATCAATTTTGAGGGCTTAGCATCTTTTCCAATTTTCCATATCTCTGCATTTCTTACATCGGCTAGGCACGACCATGGATTACATTTAAGAAATTAATACCATCTTGGAACTGGCCTTAACTTATGAATGCACAATATTAGAGCTCAAGTCAGTTCAGGCTCCCACAGCACGACAAATCGGTGTATTAATTTTGTCATACATGGCGTTGTAAGTTTAAGAACACTAGTATAATATTAGCCCTGCTGCATCTGTGACCCCATTCCATATAGAAATGTATCCCTCTAGGTTAACGCAAAGCCACTGACAAAGAACAGACTAGTGCTAAGTCATGGTTTGCAGCCTTAGCCGAATGTAATGAATAAACTACCATTGGCTGGATTCGTATCAGACATCAAGTTTTAAACTGTCATTTATAAACAAGTGCAGATCATTGCATTTGGGTTTAATGCGCGATATAGGAAGCCAGCTGCTTAAGGAATCAGATTCCCTCCCGTGGAAAGGCTGACCATGGAGGACCATGCTGGTTATCCAAGAGAAAACAGACCGCCATAATAAATCTATGCTGGCTTATGCCATAATCATAGCTTGAGCAAGCCATGGGGGGGGGGGGTTTCCTATTAATACATTCTAAACCACCACAGCTGGATTCATGGAAGGCCTGTCGCTCACTCGGCAGTGAGACAGGCAGCGTATGAATTTAATCAATAAAAGTCACGGCAACCGTTGAAGCTGCAACACAACGCAAAGTCAGAAGCAACCGAAACGTTTGGGCTCTTAAGGGCAGGCTCCAGAGAGGTTGGACTTCCTTTCTTCAAATCCAGCCGTGCGTGTGTGGCTAAGCTGCTGTCGAGAGAGTTGGACTATATGGCCTTAAGGCACCTCTCCACATTCTGAGTCCGTGAAGGACCTTCCCGGTCGCAAACAGTTCAAACCAACATATTGGTCCCCGGCTGAATTATTTATCCCTACACCCCAGATTTGCACAGTTGACCCATAAACTGCTTGCAGAGACTAGTCTCAATATGGATACTTGGGGATCAGGGCGTTATGTGAATCCAGACAGCCAAAACCATTAAGCCAAGATGATTAATTGTCATTAAGCCAAAGTGATTAATCATCATTAAGCCCAAACCCCCAGGGTTGGATCTGAAGCCTGGAAAAGCCTCAGTGGCTGGCTTAGCCAGATTAACTGTCAACTACCCTGTTTCTCCAACAATACGGCCTCCCCCAATAGGAAGTCCCAGCATGTTTTATAGGCATGAAATGAAATTAAGCCCCTCCCCCCCCCAAATTAAGGCCTATATTAAAACATGCGAAATGTGAGGGAATGGTGGGGGGGCTTGCCGTTAGGAAGTACTTTCGTTGCACACCTGGATATGGTGCTGCCTGCATTGACCCCGATACGAAGTGCCCCACCAACGCCAAGGTCAACATCCAAGCTGTCGCCACCCACCCGCCCGAAGATGCAAGGGGGGGGGGAATTAAGTCACCCCCGAAAAGATGACCTAGCCATTTTTTCGGGGCTCAAAAAAAAATAAGAAGACCCGGCCTTATTATATGAGAAACACGGTATTTGCAGGAAAGGGGTCTCCAACCTTGGCCATTTTAAGACGTGTGGACTTCAACTCCCACAATTCCTCAGCCAGCAAAGTCTTACAGCAAAGGCCAAGGTTGGAGACCCCTGATTTAGGGGAAAGGGGTTTAATTAGGACCTGTTCTGATAGGAACCGGGGCTTTATGGCTTCCTCCACAAGCCACGGTGAGAGCCAAGGGAGCCCCCAAGCCATACAAACCATAGTGAGTGTACTGACTGCCCTCCCATGGATACCATCAGCTCCACAGAGTATCAGGCAGCAGCGTCCAAAATGAAAAGCCCCCCCCCCCCGCTTACAGGGCCGACCGACCATTAATCACAGCTCACAAACTACAACAGGTACCTTAAAGCAGGTATGCCAACTGAAAACAAACTATACAACCCACGGATGTGAGGTGACCATCTAGTTCGTACAACCTGCCGAGGCTTAATGTGGTTTGTTTGTTTGTTTTTTTAAAATCTGCAGGTGTTGAGCACAGTTTAGGCTTCCATGGAAACAGAACTTTCCTCCACCCACCCTCCGTACTCATCAAAAACCAAAAGAAAAAAGCTTGGAGGAGATTTTTTTTCCCCCCCCCCAGGAATCTCAGCTCTGGTTTTCCTCCCCTCCCAACCTCCACCCCGAGCTGGACATTTACCCAGCTCCAAGGACCTCTCTCTCAGGATTAAAACAAAAGGGAGCCAATAACAATGGCACGCACAGAGGCTGTTTGGTTTGGCAATCTTTATATATATCCACAATACAGAATAACCATGCACAAAATCCAAGGGGAGTTTATTTACAAGGGGAATTGCACTTAACGTAAGAATCTGCAGGAAGCCATGAAGAGGGGGGGGAAAAACAAAAAACCAACCAACCCTCGGACTCCTTCGTCACCTCCGGAGATTCGAACCAGGCTCCGGGAGGGTTCGACCAGGCAAGAGAAGAAATTTCAGAGCCTTTCCAAAGGTTTCGCCAGCACTTTTGTGGCGGGTGCCAAGCCCCAGCGTTTCTGGGGGTGGGGAGGGAAGAGGCAGAGCCTGTGCTTCATGCCCCGAGCCAGAGGTGCCCCGTTGTCCTCTTTAAACCCCTTGCAAAGGTTGCAGTTTTCCAGAGAGAGAGAAAGAGTCAGAGAGAGAGACAGAGAGAGAGACAGACAGACAAACCTCTCTCTCCGTCAAGCTTGATGCCTCAAAGGGAATTGCTCTCCCTGTTGCCGAGTGCCAAAGATCCTTCTAGCAACCTTCCTTGCTCGCAGGGCAGCCAAGGGAGGCGGGAAGGGGTAGGGGTGGGGAGCAGGCCATCTATGCCCAGGAGGGGAACGGGGGCCTGGACGTTCAGCACCGCCTGGGGTTTCTTCTCCTCCTCCTTGCCCCCCCCCCCCCCCCCCCCGAGGGTCTTGAGCCCCCAGGGTGTTAGCAACAGCAGGTTGAAGGAGCGGGGAGCAGAGAGGAGCCCGCTGGGGCAAAGTCTAAGGAGCCACGAAAGAGAACCGGAGGCATCTGCAGTCTCCCTTTTGAATTCAGTGAGGCTGCTAATCCAGAGCAGGGAGAGGTTTCCTGGGAGTGGGTGGACTGACCCCCTTCCCACAGCCCCCATTTCGCTTCCTTCCCTCCCTCCCTCCCTTCATCCTTACAGGAGCTGGTGTTTTGTTCTGTTTTCGTAAAATTATCCCTCGGTTCCTTTTGAGAGAAGTACCTCCAGAACCAAAGAGCAAAAAAATGAAATTGGGGGGGGGGGGAGGGTGTCATTTGAGACTGACAGGGGAGGGGAGGGGGTGGAATCCAGTCACTCTTCCAAAGCTTGGCCTGGGTGCATTCTTTTAAGGGGGAGCCGAGGGCGCCAGAAACAGAACAGCCTTTCAATTCCCACGGAGATTCGGTCTGCTAGGGCGACTGTCTGGGATCCAACGCGGGAAAAGGAGAATTCGGGTCCGATAATGGGTAGACCAACCTGAGCCCGCCAGCCTCGCTCGGAGGAAGATGGCAGGGGCAGAGATGGAAGAGGAGACCCAGAATGACTCCCCTGCCCTTTTTAACGTGGGCGGCTGCTCACTTATCCCCAGGGAGCCACGTTTTCTCCACCGGTTATGTAATGTCTGAATCTACACCCTGGGCTGCCTTAGTCAGAGGAAGAAACAGAGGCCTCGCAACGTGCGGCTGGGACGGGGAAACAAACCCCACTGAGACAGCAGCAGCCTCCGCCTGCCAATCAGAAGCGCCTCCCTCGCAGGCAGCGCTTCCCAAAAGCACAAAAGGGTTCAAAACACCCCTCCAAAACAAGCGAGGAGGCCCGAGCAGCCAGCCAGACTGCCTGCCTGCCTGCCTCCACGACTGCCATCCAAACAAGCCGCCTCTCTGAGCCACGACGGACGTCGCCTGGGTGTCCTTGGGGCAGCACCCCTCCGGCATCCAAAGAGGGATCCGTGGCCAGGCTCCAAAATAAAGGCTCTTGTTTTCTGGAGGTGCATTGTGACCCCGTGAAGCCCACTCGGAAAGCAGGCAGCCAAGCCCCCCGGGAAAGGCCGACTCCGTTCCGGAGATCAACTGGCAGGGGACCAACAGCTTCCTTCCTTCCCTGCTTCCCGGGCTGGCCTTAAAGGGGGTTTCCTCAATAGAGCAGAGATTTTTAAAAAACCTCAACAGCAAAATGCCCCACCCACCCCTTTTTTAAAAAAAATTTGTTAGCTGGCTAAAAAGACATGTGCTGTTTTGAGATCTAAGCAAGGGATTCAAAGGAAGGTAGAAATTACCCTCTGGAGTCATTTTTGTCCAACCAGGAAAAGAGAAGCTATGGCGGCTGTCCCACTCTCGTGAACATGCCCCCAAATAAATGGGGCAAGACCAAAATTCTGCTGGCAAAACACACGTACAGAGGTGGCTCAGGCCCAGCAATAACTGCCTCCTGGCCAGAGGCTGTTTTGATTTAGAAACCCTGTCCACGCCCTGTCAGCTGTTTTCATCCTTCCTTCAAAAGCTACACAGCAAAACAAAAATCGGCCGGAATCGAGTTTGGTGGAATCAAGATCCTTTCTTGCAAAGGGTGGTATTGCCAGCAAATATTCTAGTTCAATGTTTTACCTTGCCCGATGTTAATATTTTCATATATATATATATATGAGAGAGGGGGAGAGAGGAGAGAGGGAGGGAGAGATAGACAGAGATAGAGAGAGAGGGGGGGAGAGAATGAGAGAGGGAAGAGAGAGGAGAGAGATATAGAGATAGATATATAGACAGAGATAGAGATAGATAGATATAGAGGGAGAGAGAATGTGTGAGAGAGTGAATAGAGCGGCCTGCATATTAAGATGATAAGAAATAAACAGCAAGTGCCGTAAAAGGAGATAATACAAATTCCAAGATGTTCAATTGTTACCAAAAAAAGGAGCTATCAAGTATCTGATTCTCTACAACTATTCCTCCAGACAACCTTAGCAGTGCAAGTTATGTACATGGCAGGAAAAATATTGCTTCGCACTCAATCCGAAGGGCGGGGGGGGGGGGGGGGGAACAATGCGGGGGGGGGGGGGGGGGGGGGGGGGGGGGGCGGGGAGAGAAACAAGGGGGTGAGGGGGGGAGGGGAGGGACTAGCTGGTCAAGAAAGCGACATGCAGAGATGGAATCTCGGAGATACACGAGGAAGCATTCGGATGGTGAAAAAGGAGACCCAGAAAGCCTTCGGCTGGCACTTCGTCTACTAGATTTGTTAGTGTCATGCCAGGGCGGGTGACATTTCGGAGCCGGTTCTCGGGATGTGCACGCAGCCCTGGTGGCGTCAAGAGCTCACTGCGCACAGACAGACTTCACTGTCCCAAACTGAAAGCAAGGGGGAGGGCAGGGAGGGGAGGGAGGGGAGAGCCAAGAGAAAAGAAGTGGGCTGGTCTGAGAGAAAAAGCGAGGAAAGCTAAACCACCACCAACACCCCCCAAAATAAAACCCCCACTGGCACGAGACCGGGAAGAGAGACGAGTCACAAAGCCAATCCATGAGTTTTGCCAGGTGTGAGTGTGCAGGTGTCTTGACACGCCCACCAGACAGAAGCCAGAAAAGAAGGGCTTCTCCTTGACTTTTAAAGAGTTCTTTTGTGCCTGAATGGCCACAAAGAAAGACAACAGCAACACTCCCTTGAGGTCCCTCAAGCACCCATCCTCCCCGTTCCTCTAAACGAGGCGCACACACACACAAGCACGCACACACACACACAAGAGAACACTTCCTGGCTCGTGGTGGAATTTCAAAGACACCCCCCACCCCGCATCCCCCACCCCACCCTCAGCACTACATTCATCACCGGTCACGGGGGAGGGGAGGTTAGCCCTCTTTGAGAAGGGTTGGGGGGGGAGGAGGGGGTCAGGGGGGGCCGAGGAAGGAGCAGTGCGCACGTGTCTCCCGCTGAAGGGCAGGCCTTGAGGAGAAGGGCGGGCAGCGGCCGAGGGAGGGTCACAGGTTCTGGCAGCACTGGAGTTTATTGGATTTCTGTCCGTCGGTGGTGGGAGGCACGCTGATGTCCACCACGTTGTTTCCCGGAGACTCGTCGTGGGCAGACCGGTCCGCGATCTGCTTCTGGGACACGATGCGATAAATCTCTGCAAAGGAGACCAGAGGGTGGTTCTGATTGAGCCTGCATTTCTTGTGCCGCCCCCCAAATAAGCAACTGGTGAGCAAGGCCACGGTGAAGCCGAAAAAGCGCAAACGCTGGGGGGGGGGGACACCTTTGGGACAACTGCAACCTGGATGACGGAGAATCTCCACAGACATACCATAGTGAAGGTGATCCCTCCCACAACACTGTAGCCTGGGACAACACGTGTGATGACCCAAAGGGGCGTGCCACAAAGGCAGCACAGTCAAGATAATCAAGAAGAGTCCCTTTATTAGCTCCAACTTTGCCCCCTAATATCCTGGATACTTTCTGGCTGGAGAAAAACTCTCCCAGGAACAGCCTTTGACAGCAGAGAATTAAGTCCAAAACATGGTCAACACAAACTGTAACTAAAAATCTACACAAACCACGCTGCAGTAATTAACTTGACAGGGCAACAGAAGGAATTGCAGATTGAAAGGCCAGCAAAACACACACAGTTGGGAAGACGCCAGGAACCCAGATAAGCCTTGACGATACCAGATAATTCACAATTTGCTCCCAACAACTTGCTGTGCGCAGCTTCCATTTTTAAACACTGTGTTCCCAGCTGCAGCTAATGAAGGGAATCAGGGCCCTTTCCTCCCCCGTAAGCCACGCAACTCATGTTGCTCCCTTCTCTGTTCCTCCCTGTGTGCCCTGGGATGAAGAGGGGGTGGGCCTTAGTCTTCCTCTAAACTCCCTCTCCCTTATTCTACCTCCCCACTCCTCTGTCCAGCCAGACTTTGTCCTACCCCAGTTTCTTCCACAGCCAACGGAGCCACACTCCGACTCCTTGTCAGCAGCTCGGCCTTCCCCTCTGAATCAGATTCCGACAGGGGCATGACTACACGATCCCGGGTTACGGGGAAAGAACGGTTGGATCCTGCATGTTGCAAGGTTGAGTCTCTGTCCGCTCAGCATTTGCTGTGACCCAGGATGCAACCTCCTTTGTTGGTTTGGGAATTCCCACCAGCCAGCAGACACACTAGATCAGGGGCGTGAAACTGGCGGCCTGCAGACCGGATGCCTCATGTGCAGGCCAGGCCCACCCCAGCTGCGCGAATGGGAAAAACGTTGCGAAACATCATGTGACAGCAACGTGTTTGACACATGCCCTAGATGATCTAGTTCTAGTAGATAATCCTGTGGATAGCCAGGTGCCAAGCCACAAAGGATCTTAGGGGTTTAAAAAAAAAGACAAGCTCCTCAAATTGCACATGGAAAGCTGCCGTGCAAATTGTCTGTAGAGATTCTCTGTCCTCCAAATCATGGTTGTCCCAAAGGTGCTTTTTTTTTTTTTTTTTTTCAGGAGGCAACTGGATTTTCTGGTTTTTTTCTTTCAAAGACGTTTCACTTCTCATCCAAGAAGCTTCCTTGGCTCTGACTGGACGGTGGGTAATGGAAGGATTTATATCCCTTGCAGACAGCTGGTAAATTACTGCAAGGAATATAAATCCTTCCACTCCCCACTGTCCAGTCAGAACTGAGGAAGCTTCTTGGATGAGAAGCAAAACATCTTCGAAAGGAGAAAAAAACCCAGAAAGTCCAGTTTGCCTCCTGAAAAAAAAGGTACTTTTGGGACTGATGTGCAAATTGTTCTCAGCAGCCAGGTAGGTGGTTTCTACGATTCCTGGTAGGAAATTACAAAGCCCCCTGGATGACAGCCCACTCAGGCAAGAGAGGAGGCGCAGCGAGCCCACTTCACCTCCCTTATCCCCACCAAAGGTCTCACTCCAAAGGTGGACACTGCCCCGTGCTCAGGTTGACCTGTCTTCCCGCTTCAGCGCCCCAAATGCAGAGTCAGATATTTAATAGCTTCTCATCATCATTGCTGGCACTTGTATGTCACAGAGGACCTCACGGGGTTGGCCCCTAGCAAGAGACCTACTGCACTCAGGAGCTGCCCCTGGAAAAACCGGGGGAATTTCCCAAACATCCTTTGGGAACCGCTGGCCCGTTGCTGCATTCTGGACCAGCTGTGGCTTCCAAGGGGTCTCCGAGGGCAGCCCCACGTACAGGGCATTGTAACAGTCCACATGCACATGGCAACTAAAGCTATGAAGGATGGCGAGAAGAGGCTCTAAGCAGGAAGACCCCGGACTGCAAAAATAAACCAGGGTTAGGTTCACGGTTGCTAAGGTATCGTGCTCCCGTTGGAAGCCTGACTCTGTGCAGGAAGACGCGTGGGAACTGGAGCACAGAGAGAGATGAGGGGGCAGCTTCACTGCTTCAGAGGAAGATGGGCAGGAGCAGGCCCAGTCAGGCCAGAGCCTTTCAGGATTGGGACGGCTCATAGGCCGGGAGGAAGGGGAGCAGGATGCTGACCAGGAGAGGCGAAGCAGCACAGGCTGACCCGGCTACTCGGGAGGAGAGCACCCCGCCCCTCTCCACAAAGCACACCTGGGAACTGAGGCTTAAGAAGCTGGAGGGAGGGGCGTCTGTCGGGAACAAATGCCGGATTCCTGGAGTGTGGAAGAACTTTCCTGGGTTCCTTGCTTTGCAGCCGTGGTGCTCGCAACGTTGGGCTGGACTATTTGCAGCCAGAGGCTGCTTGAGCTTTGAGTGTGTGTGTGTGTGTCCTCACTTTGCTCTGGGACTTGCCAGAAACGTGAGAGCGTTGGGGGGAAATTTGGAGCAAGAAAGGGGTGGTCTGAACTGCCACCTGCCTGCGTTTACCTCTGTGCCGTGCCCCGGATCATCACATCAGGTGGCCATCCAGCCCTAAGCGACCAGACTGGATGCCACGTTGAGGGCAGGTGGAAGCCTTCAAGGATGACGGGCCTTGGGGAATCGCACTGCCAACCACAGCAACGGTGGCGTCAGGTGGCGTAAGCAGGGATGTTGCCGCGGAACAAAGCTCTTGGCTCCCTGGAGTCCGTGGCTTCAACCACAGGATCTCAAGGGTGTTTTATCTCCAGCGCAGGTGTCTCTGAAAGCCATCCAGGCTTCTTGGATACTGACTGCCACCCTGCTTCCCCGGCCTGGGCTTGGTGCTCCCAAGGGGAGTTTCCTTCTGAGAAGGCAGCACCACCGTCTGGGCCCACCCACCCAACAAAAGGTGGGAGCCAGGGGCCCCAAGCATCTGGTTACCGGGGATTAAAGCCGGGGAGCAGGAGGGTGGAACTGGTTTCAGATACTGATTCTACTTTCCTGTGAGTGGTTCCCACATCTGCCTCAACAGCTGCATATAGACAGAGAGCAGCAGTAACCCAAGGCACCGCTCTCCCCCTACTCCAGGGGCAGGCAATTAATTTCCCCAAGAAACTGGGGGCTGTTATGGAAGGTCCCTAACATCACCAGCTCTCTGCCCCCCACAACAGGTGCCACTTAAATCACAATTACGAGACCACGGGGATACGGCATGGCCCTAAGAACAAGGACCAGTTATAAGTCACTTTTTATAATGATGTCCTGGAGTCTGGGAAGGCTCTGATGAGAGCTCTATGTCGGAGGCAGAGATGGGGTCTGGCAATTATCGGCTGCCTTTGGAGTCAGCCATCAGTGAGGCAGAAGAGCAGCTGGAGCCTGTTCCCAGCGTGCGCATGTGCAGAGTTGCCAGAAGAAGGGAACAGCTGAGGAACAAGGGCCAACTTAGGAGTAAAGCCACAGGTGGACGGTGAATGACCCCCTCCCCTATAGGATAAAAGAGGAGCGAAAGGGGAGTGGGGCTTTGTAGGAGACAATCAGTTCCTTCCGGCATGCTTGCCAAATATTGCGGCGTCTGAAAGATATCGGCCTGGCACTTCTCCAAGCCTGAAAAGGTCAGTAATTGGGAACTACCTTGAAGACTATTGCCCAGGACTTTGTTGGGAGAGAAAATTCATGGTAAGTTAAATAAAAGGGGTTTATCGGGGTGAGGACTCGGCTTCATGCTGTTGGGGAAGCCTAGGCCGGAACAACCAGGAGCTGATCCTAAACGTTTGCGTGAATCGTATTTTATCCGATGAGAGAAAATTGTAAACAAGATATGATAGGCTAAACTTGGCAAGAAGTACACTCTAGGCGTGGATGAAATTCAAGTTCAATCGGGCAGCCCCTTCTTGAAAAAGGCTTTCTTCCAACAAGCCCACCCTACAAACAGCCATTCAATTCCTTCCTTGTCAATCGATTGGGTGTTTGCCAAAGGGAGATGAACGATATAAAATCATTAAATTCAAACTCTGGTACCCGTGGGACCGTGGCCATACCTGAAGAGCAGAGTTTGGGTTCCTTTACCTGTAAGGATGTTCTTGAAGGCTTCTTCTACATTTGTTGAGTCGAGTGCTGAAGTTTCAATGAACGAGAGATTGTTTTTTTCTGCAAGGTGAAGAGTGAAAAATATCATTTCAATCTTATTGGCTACTTTGTGCACAGAGCAGCACTCAAAGTTGGGAAGGCCGATTTAATGTTTCACAGGATTTTCCCCTAAAAGATTTGTTAACTGATTGGAAAAATTAATACTAGTCTGGATTATACATAACCAATGTGACCAGCTGGAGTTAGCATCTGGTCCAATGCCTCTCTCCCAATCCAGGAGAAGATCAGACCATTCTATTCCTTCAGTTTTAAATGAAGAAGAATTGCTATGGCATCCAAAATTGATATTTGTAACTAGCTTTAACTATGAACAACAAAACAAAGTTTCATCCTGTTTTCACACTGACTTAGTTTTGCTAACTACAGCAAAGAAGAATCAAAGTTTAGTTCAAATCAAACTGCAACAGGAGAAGCACTTTTATTTATTTATTTAACACGGCTGCCCAACTCACACACAAGCGACTCCAGGTGGCTTATAATGTTTTCAAATCTTACCGCACAAAAATCCATAAAACCCACCCCCATTTTAGCCCATGGGGCTCAGTGCGATTTGACACAGTAGCGCTCAAATCAGCTTTCCACCCTCTGCCCCCGGACTCATAATGTAAACTACAATTATAGTAAGTCTCAACCACCAGGGCATAAAGATCGAGGTTGAACTTGAGGCAAGAGTGTCTAACTCTGTCCCACAGTGGCCATTGTAACTTTGAGAGATTGCAGAGTGTATTAATTCTAAGATATATTTTATTTTTATGTACAGTGAGAGCATATGCACCAAAGACAAATTCCTTGTGTGTCCAATCACCCTTGGCCAATAAAGAATTCCATTCTATTCAATATATTAAGGCTCGGCAAGTTCAGAACAGTATTCTGTTTATGCTCAAGAGAACAGGGGTGCCTTTGGCTTCTCCAACTTCCCGCTTAGAGCCTCTTCTCATGATCACTCGTAGCTTAGCTGCCTTGTGCATGGGTACCGTTATGATGGCTTGTATGTGGGGCTGCCCTCCGAGACCTCTGGGAAGCTATAGCTGGTCCAGAGTACAGCAATGGGCCAAAGGATGCTTAGGGAATTCCCTGGTTTTCTAGGGGTAGCGTGGTGCAATGGCTCCTGAACAGTGGATGCCCTTGTTTCTGAGGGGTCTCTTGCCAGGGACATATTCTTATTCTAGACTTTACTGAAGCAAATGCACTTTGGATGCTTCAGAATCCTTGCAATACTTCAGCAATTTGCACAAAGCTTTTGTATGGCATGCAAGGTGTGGGGTTTTTTTTTTTTCTCCCTTCCAGAGATTCCAAAAATATCTATCCCGTTTTTCGAGAGCAACCTGTCCTGCTTTGACATTATGTTGACAGCAGCAAGATTATTATATGCCCCAAAATGGAAGGACACTTCGCTTCCTACCCTGGACAAAGGATTGCAGAAGTTGATGGAGTTGGCTGAAATGGCAAAAATTGACTTATTTTGATTAAGGAAAAGAATAGAACGACTTTTGTTTCCACATGGAGACCAGCCCGCTTCTGAACTTTGTGCTTGATGTGGAAACTTTGATGTTGGGTTTTACCGATTAGATTGACAGATCTCTACAGAAATGGCTTGTTCATGTTATTATGGGAAAACAAAAAGTTGTGGCTTGATGTTAATGCCTTTATTTTACTGCAAAAGAGAGTCGGAAGATGTTAGGGATAACATTGTTTACCCTAACTGGTTTGGGTAAAAATAATAAATATGGTATCATGGTTTGTTGGTTAAAGTGTGTGTAACTTTAACTGCAGGAATGTAATTAGGGGTGTGGTTGTAAAAGCACTATATAAGAAGCGAGGCAATTGCAGCTCGCTCTCTCTGGCTTACTGATCCCTAATTACTGGATGGATTGATGACTGTGTTCTTGCTGGAACGGGGAGAGAAAAAGGGAGTGTTGATTTTCTCAACGGAGAGAAGATAAAGATTGGACTGATTTATTGTAAGTGTACTGACATTGGCTATTCAACACGGACTTTGCAAATAGAGTATCCCCGACAAGACTTGACTGAAATTGATATATGACTAATGGACTGTTATATTTGACTATGCTATAATTCTTAAATGGAATAAACTATATTTTTGATAGCACAAGCGTATCTGTATTTTTACTGCGTGTTAACTAGAAAACTTATCTCACACATTTACCTGTCTTCCTATCTGACTTCGCTGCACATTCTGTTTAGTTTGTTTTCCTTAACAACCGTTGGGAAATCCAGGCTTAACAGAAGACAATGATTCTTTTTCTTTTTTCCAACCCTTCCTCGCTTTCCTATTTACTTTTGTATTTTGTATCTTATTTTCTCTTACAAAATCAATAAAAAAATATGTTAAAATTGCTAAATGCCTAAAGAAGTCAACGGGCCAAACCTGCGAAAGCCCGGGCCTCGTCCGTCGGTACCGCTCTCAGGTGACGCAAGTCGCTCTTGTTTCCCACCAACATGATGACAATGTTGTTGTCGGCGTGATCCCGCAGCTCCTTCAGCCAACGCTCCACGTTCTCGTACGTCAGGTGCTTGGCAATGTCGTAAACCAGAAGGGCCCCGACGGCACCACGGTAGTAGCTGGAATTGTTTTTAAAGAGTTATTACGCAAACTGAAAGCCAAACACTATCACACAACCTCTTGGCCACAGCGCAAGCTACTGAGAGGCCCAATTCACAAGCTCGTAAGAGGATGTCCAGGTAAACCTCCACTCACAACCCTTTTGTTTAGGGACGCTTCAAAGTTACAATGGCGCTGGGGGGAAAAGCGACTTGTGACCAGTTTTCACACTTACGACCGCTGCAGCACCCGCAGGGTCCCATGATCAAAATTCGAACGCTTGGAAAGTGGCATGGATTTATGAAAGTTTCCCTGGGGTAAGGCAATCAGTTTTTGTGACCTTCTGACACGCAAAATCCACGGGGGAAGCCAGATGCCCTTTAATAACCGTGTTAATAACTTAACTGCAGTGATTAACAGCTGTGGCAAGGAAGGTTGTAAAATGAGGCAAAAGGCACTTAACAATTGTCTCGCTTCAGCAATGGAAATCTTGGGGTCTGTTACGGCCATACATCGAGGAGTGTAACGACCTTAACACCCCACCCATCCACCCATTAGCCACCTACTAGCCACCCCCAGCTGCCTTTCAAGCCTTACGCAGAGGTGATGGCACGATAGCGCTCCTGGCCTGCCGTGTCCCAGATCTGGGCCTTTATAGTCTTCCCATCCACCTGGATGCTTCTGGTGGCAAACTCCACCCCAATGGTGCTTTTGCTCTCCAGGTTGAACTCATTCCGTGTGAAACGGGATAAGAGGTTACTCTTCCCCACGCCGGAGTCTCCGATCAGCACCACTGCCAGGGCAGGAGAAGACAACACTCCGTCAGTATTCATTCATCCATCACCTGGAAATGGGAGGGAGGGAGGGAGGGAGGGAAGGAAGGAAGGAAGGAAGGAAGGAAGGGCAAAGGGCGCCATTGGCAAATCGCACACAAAATGACAATGTGGTTAAGAGGAAGCCTTCAAATTGTTGTTGAATGTCCTGCTTTTCTGCTCCTTCCTCTCCCTTTCAATGGCTGATTGCTACCTTTTCTATTCTACTTCTCCTCCATGCCATCCCAAATTTCCTTCAGTCAAGCTCAATTACTAGGGACTTCCAGGAGATTCCATTTCCTGTTCTTGGCACCAGTGATTTGTGGATGCCTTTTTCCAAGATGCTTCAACTTTCCATTGCTCTGCATTTCTTAGTGGTCTCTCATCCAAATACTAATCAGATCCACATAAGCATCAATGCAAATGTGTTAAAATATTATCCCCCTTTATTATTATCATAAATAACGACGGAGAACATACCAAATCCTCTTTCCTCCTTTTGAGAGACAGCAACTAGCCAAAAGTCACCCAGCCGGCTTTCAAGGCTAAAGCAGAACTAGAACTCACCCTCTCCTAGTTTCTAGCCTGGTGCTTTAACCACTGGACCCAACTGGTACTCCTTGCATTACACGGGCAACAGTCTGTACAGAAATCCCAGCCTGCCATACAATTATGCCTCCCGCATCCACTTATTAACTTAGCGGGTAAAAAGATTCATCTTCTCTGATTTTCCTTTAGTTTCCAACTGTGACTTTCTGTGCCCCTTCTCACATTCTACTTGCTTTCTGCAAGTTTTCAGAGATTTGTTTTTTCTTTGAAGACATTTCACTTCTCATCCAAGAAGCTTTTTCAGCTCTGACAGGATAGTGTGGAATGGAAGGAATCTATATTCCTTGCAGACACTGATCCTTTGCATTATTTGAGGACGCTTGGAGGTTCACTTGTGTCCTGGGGTTACCTGAGTAGTCGCTTTCTGCAGTGGCTTTCCACACAGTTTAAACAAATAACCCTAAAGAGAAGTAAGCAGCAACATCCATTCTCCCCCACCCTCCATCAGAACTGATGAAGCTTCTTAGATGAGAAGAGGGAAAAAAATCTTCTTCCTCAAGGACAAAAAACAGTTTCAGTTGCCTTTTTTAAAGAAAAAAACAACTTTGAGACATGAGAGTAGGCTGCTCTTCATTTGTAGACAACTTTCCACAGGAATCGGCAAATATGCCTAAAAGACTGGACTCCACGGGGCTGTAGGAGTGGGGTTTTTTTATTTGCTGAATTTCATTTCTAGCTTAAGTTACCTCTTCATGCTAACAAGGTCAGAGAACCAAAGCCTAAATTTGGAGCCTAAGATCCATCTATTCTCTAGGCCAGTTCTATGATGCTAATTGCAACTCAATTTGAGGTACATTTGCAACTCAGGGTTGAAATGAGGGGTCCTTGGTGCTCTCTGAGCTTGGTGGTTCTCTTGCAGACATA